CTAACGCGCAAAATACTTGTTCATTGAAGAAAATAACGCTAAAAAGCAAACTACATTCAAGCAAAGAAAGCAAGCGTTAAAAATGCGCCTTTACTGTCATACAGTCTTAATGATTAACAGGTTCAGTTACACGTGGCAGTAACTCTGGATCAAAATAGCAAATATGATTAAATTTAAAAATTTAAAAAATAAGTTTGACACGATGGACTGCAAGAAATTGAACAGAAAGTTTAATTTTTACACTAAGTCTGCAACAGAAAATAACCCGCGACTGCTGTTGCTGTGTTATCGCAAACTGAAGATAACAAAGCTTAAACAGCAGAGTAATTCAGATTTATAGCGTCCGAATTTTAGAAATTATAATTCAAACTGACATTAGGCAAGTCTCACAGCTGTAAGAAAGTTTACAATATTTTCATTACAAGCAGAGCGGCTTCAGCGACGTTTTTTCTATGTTTTGTGTCGTCTTTCCAAACACCTGAAATGATTGCATGGCAAACAAAAGATAAGTTTCGAATATTGTGCTGTTATCTACAGCTATCTAACCATACTATGCGCCGGTCTCTAACTTCATCTGCTAGTTTTTTCCAACTAGTGCTTATCAACGCCTGCCGGTTCATGAATCTGTGGTTCCATCGCACTTCGAGGATGCAGCACAGGAAGAGCTGGTGGAAATGGTTGAAGTGTGTTCCACTGATCATAAGGACGGCAGATGTATCGAGGAGATACATGATCATCGCGCATATCACTGCTTTTAAAACAATGATTTTTATGTCCATTTTTATAGTTAGACCATTTCATATTTTACAGTTTACCATATTTCGCTGATACCAGTCTGATACACAGACTTGCTTTAGGATCAACGAACATCGAAGGTTAACACAGATATGAAGGGCGAAAATGGTTTATTTCGTCAGCGGTAATACCATACCATAATATCCTTGAACTGGCGGTCTAGTAGGGCAGTCTCATAATGTTCTACTTTTCAGCGTTCCTTTCTAAACATACTCTCATCGCGGTATTGCACACGCTTGTAGCGAGTGACGATAAGCGAGAAGAATGCCGCAGAGAAAAATGAAACGCCAATTTTTCTAGAGATGAACTGAAACGAAGGCTTACCAGAAGTCCAAAAAACTCATATGCCATGGAAGCTAAAAGCTACGGCATCGCTCGAAGATTCGGTTCAGCACAAAGATGTTGCACATGCATGAGAATCCACCTTCGAAGACTATTTGTTAAGTTCACAACAAACAATCAAAAAATTTCATTATCGATAGCGGCAACATCTCTACTATGCGGACCCAGCTTGCGGGGTCAATCATGGTTGGTTCCAGCAGAATGAGATATACCCGTATAAATCGCCGGTTACTATCAACGCTCGGTCCCACGGTCGCGGCGATAAATTTGAACCACTGAACAGTAATCAGTTGAATTAGCTCAGTGATCCAGCCAATCGTATTAATACTTGGTAGCTTTTTATGAGTTAATGATCGCCCGGATGAGAAAGGAGGACGGATGGAGGCCATGACATGTCTTCGTAAAATTTAGCCACCTGCCACACATGGTATTGACGCCATCGA